TGGTCCACCTCTCAGAGACAGCCAGGGGAGCAGGAGGGAGGCAGGGACTAGGGGAGAAGTTGGTCCAGCCTCCCCTGAAAGTGTCTAGCAGGAGTGTCCAGGGAGGGAGGCAGAGATCAGGGAAGCAGAGAGGGAGGAAGATGGTGAGGAGCCTCTCTCTCTCTCTCTCTCTCTCTCTCTCTCTCTCTCTTTCTCTCTCTCTCTTGGAGGGAGCAGAAACCAGACAGAAGAGAGTCGATACTTACAGAGCCATGTTAGAAAATGTGAGCTGAATGAATAAAGACAAAGGGGCTCCTGGGAGAGAAGCCACAGAGGACAAGCCAGCCATTGTGGAGCCCTCCTGTAATCCCCGCACTCAGGAGGCAGAGGCAGTGGATCTCTGTGTAGATCCAGCCTAATCTACATAATGAGTTCCAGAACAGCCAGGGCTATACAGAGAGACCCTGCCTCAATAAAACAATAATAATAATAATATCCTCTGAGTTCCACAAACAGTGAGCAGTGAGGCCATGGAGAAAGGGCAGAGCGAAGGGAGAACCCCCAGGACCCCTCAGCCGGCATCAAGGAGCTACCTGGAGAGGAGATGTCCACTAGTGGGGGGCCCGTGAGGTGGGGATGAGGCAAGGGCACAGACTTGGTAGTGGAAGGAAGGGGTGGGCCTTGAGGGTTGGGGGCCTGGGAAGTGAGTGGGCAGAGGCCTTGGATGCCTGGATCCCCACCATGGGGAATGGAGCTGGAGAAGGGTAGATACTCACAGAGGAGAGACAGTTGTGGCACCCAAGAAAGGAGCCTGGAAATAATTAGCGAGGGCCAGTGAGATGGCTCGGCAGAGTTACCTGGTATTGAACCTGAAGACCTGAGTTCAGGCAGTTTGGACACACTAAATACATAAATAAATGGGAAAAAAATTAAAATAACTCTTGGACAAACAGGAGGTGGGCAGGACAAAGGGATGGGCAGGTGGGTCCTGGAACACATCTGCAGAGCATATGTAAACACTGGACACAGCCTGGGAGAGCCCTCCCACCCTGCAAAGGGCCTGAGAGAGGCTTGGGGAGAGCCCGCAGGCTGAGCGAGGCAGGCTGCGGGAGAAAGCGGAGCTGAGCTGACAGCTGCTGCCTCTCCCTCACCCACACCCTCACGGGAGCTGACCAAAAGAAAATGTAAAGGGAGTTACCCCCCTGGGATGGGACAAAGGAGTAGTCAAAGTGGCAGAGATGACAGTTACCAGGCAGCTTACACACACACACACACACACACACACACACACACACACACACCTCTGAAAGCCGCGCGCGCGTGCGCGCTCGCAGGGCCAGGCAGATTTCAGAAGTACCTTGGAGACAGGCAAGACTAGGAGGGCTCGGAGTCTCAGGCTATAGCACATGCACTTGGACGGATGGAGAACAAAGGGTGTTGACTGCGTGGATGGGCAAGCACAGGCCATCGAGATTGGCATGAAAGCTACAGGCCACAGATCGGGGCTGGCAGGAGCTTCAGGGACACCCAACGCCCCCCCACACACACACTCACACACTCACACACTCACTCACACTCACACTCACATGGCTGGCAGCAGCAACAGCTTTACAAGGAGTGCTTTCTGAAGAGCCATGGGAATGAAGAAAAACAAAACCTCCCCAACCAATGGCAGTGACCCCAAAGCCGAGGGGAGGCCCCACACTAGGAAGCCAGTAGTCTGACCCCACAGGCCACGCCTGAGGGGACTTGAATGAGGCTGGGGGTGAGTGGGGGGGGGGTGTTGAAAAGAGAACCAGAAAGGCATGTGGGATGCTGGTGGACGCACACTTGGGACTATGCAATCACATCTCAATTGAAACTAATCAGTACCAGAGCAGGCGACACACAGAGCTCTAACCTGGGGCAGAGACACAGGAGAGACAGAGAAGGGAACAAAGAAAGGCTGGGAAACAGACAGGGAGGATGCAGGACAGACAGCCACCGACCACCTCATGAGAACAGCAGTGAGGGCTGAATGCAGGGGCAAGTTATGAACGCAGGAAACACAGAAACAGGAAACGCAGGAAACTTCCAGCCGTGGAAGGGATCTCGGCATCACTCCTGCTGGATCCAGGGACAGGAAAGACCCGGGATCATACCACCAAAGCTGCACACATGCCTTGCTTTGTACGCCATACATGCAAAGTCATATCACAGCCCCGCCACACGCACACTGTTTGTCACATACCACACATTCCACACCAAATATGTTATGTACCACACTACACCTCATGTACCACTGATGCCTCACTCCACACACCACAAATTCCCACAATACAAAAATGCAACCACTCCACACATGTGCCACATTCCACATACAACTCGGGGGGAGTCACACACCTGGACTGTGGGAGTTCGGGTGGTGCTGGGTAAGAAAGGGGGATCCAGACCCAAGGAAACACGCATGCACACACATGAATACAAACACACGTGCACAAGCTCATATGCACACATACACTGACACACGCTCACACACATGCAAACACACATCTACACACACACACACACCATCAGGCTGTCACTTCCCTGGAGCCCTACCCTCCCATCCAGACAAGCTCAGAGCCTGTTGTCACTCTCCTGAAGCCTAGGGACTTTCTGCATCTGGCCTGTCTTCTCATTTAGACAGAAGCGGGTCGGTGGGCCCAGCTTATTCTCTAGCCCCCAAATTACAGTCAGGGCCGAGTCAGGGACTTCATACAAATCGTCAAGGAAACAAATGAATGGACCAGGAGGGAGAGAACCGGAGGAGCCAGTGTTCTGAACACACGGGATGGAGGGAAGCCGGAGACAGCTTTCAGGGTTTGCAGATTATAAAAACAGAGGGGAAGGGGGGAAGGGCACGGAGGGAGGCCAGCACATCTGGAATAATCAGGATGGAGGAGGGAGACCTGGAAGCCGGCAGGAAATGGGTGAGTGAAGCCCCCCTACCCCGTATGGAGCACACACAGGCACACACACATGCATGCACAGTCGCAGAGACTGGGCAACTCCCTGGAGGCAGGGAGAGGACGGAAGGAGGGATGAGGGCCCCTGTCTGCCCCTCTCCCTCTCTCATGTGCAGCTGGGCAGGAACAGCTGCTCCACTGTTCGAGCTTTCAGAAGAACCATGGGAGTAAAAGGAAACCCCGCCCCACCCCCAGCAAGCCGATGGCAGTGACCCCCGAAGCCAGAGCAAGGAGAGCGGGAAGGAAGGCAGAATCAAGGGACTGGGGAGGGGGAGGTTTGAAGAGCTTTGCAGAAACCCAGACCTGAAGGGTAGGAGACAGCATGGGGGCTGGGCCCAGCCCTTACAGACCAGCAGACATCAAAGCCACGTTCATTTGGTGTGAAATGAATGAATGAATGAACGAGAAAGACAGATCCACAAGGGTAAAAGACAGGGGCAAAGAAATTACAGAGCCAGAGAGATGTCACCACACACATATAAACACACCACCCTGGCCACAGGGCAAACAAACAAACAAAAAAAGGGAATGGGTGACACAGGACCCTCACTCCCCAGACAGGGTTTCTCTGTGTAGCCCTGGCTGTCCTGGCACTCGCTCTGTAGACCAGGCTGGCCTCAACCTCCAGAGATCTGCAGAGTAGGAGCAATGGCCACAGAAAGGGCCCCGGTGTCTCATGCTCTGAAGCAGGATAGTTAAGCAGGCCAAACCAGCCCCCCCCCCCCCCCCCCCCGCCTCTGCTGTCTGCACCTGTCCCTGTCTCTCTCCCATGTAGAGCCCCATGAAAGCAAACTTAACGTGGCCAGAGTGTGGAACTAGAAACCAGACAAGGGACTGGTGGGGAGCGGAGAGGGAAGTGACCACCGCCTCCCTCCCCTGTATAGATTTTGCCCCATGGGCTGGGTCTGGGGGCATCTCAGCCAGCCCCCCAACACCTGGTCCAGTGGGTGGAACTCTGCACCACCATGGCAGCCCCTGAAGATCCCAGGGCTCAGAGAAAACTTGCAGGGTGCTCTGTGGCCGTGGACATGTTCTGAAGGTTGAATAGGAGCTAGAAAGAGGAAAGAGATTTCCAGAGCAGAACCAGCCAGGCCCCAGAGTATGAAGCTGGAAATGGACAGAGGACAACAGGGAGGAGAAACTGAGTCACAGTCGAAAGGGAAAGCTAGAGAGCATTGCATGGAGGTGGATGTGAACTCACACCACCTATCACAGCATGCCATGTTCACCTAGATCACCCCTACTCACAGACCACGGTGTGTGTGTGTGTGTGTGTGTGTGTGTGTGTGTGTGTGTGTGTGTGTGTGTGCGCGCGCGCGCGCGCATGTTTGTGTGCAGAGAGAGCGTGACCGCACTGAGTATAGAAGATCTGCAGGGAAGCAGAAGACACGGGCCATAAGCCCCTATCCACACCTGCCTTGTTCCTTGACACACATTTTTAAAAAAGAAAGAAAGCAGGACAGACAGTTGAGGCCACCTTATACAAAGTCTTTGGGGGACGGAGTCAGGAGAATGGGGTGGCCTCGCGCGTCCACTGTGGTACTGACTTGTGAAGAGGACATGAAGAGAGACGTGTTCTGGTTTTAACTGAGCAGCTAGCAGGGACTTGCAGGCCCAGGTTTACTCTGGAGAAAAGAAGTCTTTACAGGTCTCCAGATGGGTCAGGGACAAGGCAAGGAAGGTGTCAGGGCTTCTCCCCGGGGGCTCAGGGTCTGCATGGGTTCACTCCTACCCACCCCACCAGGACACACACACACACAGAGCCTTTGAGATCACCCATGAACACACTCCATGCAGGTTAGGCAGCCCTGCCCCATCATGCCAGCTGCCCGTGTCTCATAAGCATCCTTGCCCTAAACTTTCGCTTCCCCCAGACCCTTGGTGCTGCATCTGGCCCATCTGATCACATCACCCCAGAGTCCCGGACGCCACCCAGCTGCAGGGATCAAGGTGCCTAACTGCTGTGTTCCCTCACATCCAGACTCTTCTTTCTCTCACATACGTAGCAGATGTTCAATAAACAGCTGGCCAAACTGAGGTCTGTTTGTGTTTAATCAGACAGTATGCAAAGTATGTACAACCAGTTCTGGGTTCCCCTCCTTCTAAACCTGGGCCATGGAATGTGGGATCCCCAGGTCCTGCCCAGAGCTGGAGGGTCCCCAAGGCCTCTGCATAGTCATCTGAAATCTACAAAACACTGTTAAAAAAAAGAAAAGAAAACAGGACAGTTGAGGCCACCGTATACAAAGGTCCTTGGGTAGCTGGAGTGGGGTGGGGAGAATGGGGTGGCAAGCTCAGACTTGCCAGGTAGATGGGAAAACTTGGGCAAGAGACGATGGGAGGGAAGTGGAAATGTCAGAGCAGGCCAAGCTTGGCCTCCTTCCCTGCAAGCAGGGCCTGGCTGGCTCGAAGCCCCAGCAGTGGGGACATTATTGCTGTGATGGGGCAGTGGGTGAAATGGTCATGTCTGGGGAGAGAGTAGGGGTGTTTTTACATGTTAAATATGGACACAAGGAAAGACACACAGGCACATGTACACACACATACACACACAGGGGCCCTCAGTTGAGATGCCACAGACCATCAACTACCCACCTTACAGATGCGGACAGTGAGGCAGAGAGAAGCCACCACATACCCCAGGGCTGGGCAGAAGAGTCAGGGACCAAGCAGTCAGTTGACTGCTGTCCGGGGGCTGTGGGCCCCTTGGACTCCCAGCTGTGATCTGTACAGGGCTGAACGATGGCATGGGCCACAGCCACAGCGGCAGAGACTGTAGCTCAGAGAGAGGGCAGGGCCAGTGTGGGGACACAGCAGTGAGGGTCCCCACCCACCTTTCCCTGGCCAAGGAGCTCCCTCCCTCCCCATGAGCTGAGGTACCAGCATGGGCTGGGCGGAGAGCAGGGGCCAGGTGTTGAAATGATCGGGACAAAAGGAGGACAACTGGGGCTCCCAACTTCTTAGCTCTTCCGCTTGATTGCCTCTGCAGCCTGGGAGCTCACTCCATTTCATGGCTGGTGCTTAAGGTCAAAGCCCACCCACATTGTGACTGACCCTGGTCCACACCATCACTTTGCACCCCTCATTCCTGGCTCAGCGTTATGCTTGCCTCCATTCTTCCCCCACGACAGACCCATGAGCGTCAGTGGCAGAATTCTGCCACCGGCAAACCAGTCTCAGGCCCCAGCCTGTCCATTGCCTTTAAGGACAGTTCTCATTGGTTCCTGAGGAAGACAGAGGGAGCACCAGGTGCTAACCCACCTCAACCCTGAACTGCCCGTGGTCTTGGGCAAGTCACAGCCCCTCTGGATTTCATTTTCCAACAGAGAAATGAGGACAATGTGTTGGTGATCGTCAAGGGTCCCATGTGGAGGACAGGGCTGAAGGAGCGCTCACTCAGACTCTTATCCCAACGTGTGTTGGGCCTTGGGCTGTCTAGCCTGAGAGCCATGGAAGATGGTTCCAGACCCAAAATTCCACCCAGAAGCCTCCAACAAGGATGGCCAGGGGCAGGAAGTAGATCTAGGCCAAGGGCTGGGCCTCATTCCTCTTTGGAAAGGCTCTTTGGCCAGCTTGAAACAGACCCAGGGTGAAGAATGTGGGGAGAAGCCAGGTGAGTGGAGTGGGCTGAGGTTGGAAAACCGCCCTCTCCCTCCCAACCCCTGCTCTTCACCCATTGTCTTCTACGAGAAGTAGACTGACTCCAGAGAGAATGCAGAGTGGGCCTGTGGCCAGGCCAGGCTGTGGGGCAGTCACTGTACCAGCCTCAACCTGTCCTTCCAGGCTGCCCCGTTCCTGAGGCAACCCAGCCCCAGGGAGAGGGTGAAGGGAGGCAGGTGCATCAGAGGCCACACCCAGAAGCCTAGGGGCGACAGTCCTGTGCACACAGTTCCTATAGGTTCTCCCCAGGCTGGTACTGAGGCTCGGTGGACGTGAAGTAGTCCTCCAGGAAGGCCTGTAGGTACTCGAAGGTGGGCCGCTCCTCAGGCTCCTTCCGCCAGCACTGGCACATGAGGTCATGCAGGGACTCGGGGCACTCGGGGGGACAAGGCATCCGGTAGCCCCGCTCCACCTGGTCCAGCACTTCACGGTTCACCATCCCTGTGAACAGAGGGCTGTGAGGCGATGCCTTAGGAGACGGATGCAGCCTGTCTCTGAGGCTAAGAGCCCTGACCAGAGGCAGCCTGAGATCAGAGATTAGCCTCTTTGGTAACCAGCCCCAGGAAAAGGAAGCCCAGGGGTAGTGAGGGGGGAGACTTGCCCTTAGGGCCAAGGTCAGGGACACAGGTGTAGCCTCCTCACCAGGGTAGGGCACCCGTCCCTTCGTGGTGAGCTCGGTCAGCAGGATCCCAAAGGACCACACATCTGACTTGATGGTGAATCTGCCATAGAGAGCAGCTTCAGGGGCAGTCCACTTGATGGGGAATTTGGCACCTAAAGGCAAGAAAGCACAGGCTGTCACTACCGCTCTGCCACAGGAGCATTACTCTCCTTTCCACTTGGCAGACTGAAACCATCGGATGACCCCCAGGAGCTCCCACCTTGCCGGGCTGTGTATTCGTTGTCTTCTATGAGCCGGGCCAGACCAAAGTCAGCCACCTTACACACCAGATTCTCCCCGACCAGGATGTTGGCGGCTCGGAGGTCTCGGTGCACATAGTTCATCCGCTCCACGTAGGCCATACCTGAGGCGATCTGCAGAGACGGAGAGCCTGGCTCAGGGGTCAACCCACACCCATCCCAGGGCTGTAAACAGGTGTCCCGGGCTGGCCATTCCCGAGGATAGAGAGAGGGCCAACGCCTTGCCCATCCCATGTCTTTTCAAGCAAGGAATTCATTCAGCTTAGAGTAATCATCACTGGTTTGAAAAAATAGACCATGACTGGAGGGATGGCTCAGCGGTTAAGGCACTGACTGCTCTTCCAGAGGTCCTGAGTTCAATTCCCAGCAACCACATGGTGGCTCGCAACCATCTATAACGGGATCTGATGCCTTCTTCTGGCCTGCATGCATATGTGCAGACAGAGCACTTATGCCTAAAAAAACCATAAATAAATAAAATTTTTAAAAAGAAAAAAAGGTAGACCAGAGCTCTGTGGGGGAGGGGGCCAGGCAAAGGGCAATGGGGAAGTCGCAATAAGATGCAGCCAGGGAAGCAGGTGAGTATAAAAAAGAGGTCCCAGATGACCCATGGACACAGGAACATGCCTGGTCCTGCCTGTTGTCCCGAGTCCCCTCTCTGAGCCTCGGTTTCCTCATCTATCAAATGGAAACAACAAATTTTAAACTTTTCATATTTTATTTTTATTTTTAATTATGTATATGTGCGTCTCTGATGCCCAGATATGGTGTGCTGTCCAGAACTACCTACCTACCACCCCAGGCACCAGCCAGGGCTCCACTGAGTAGCAAGGGAAGATTTGGGTGTAATGAAAGCAGGCCTCCTAGAGGGGGCGCTCTGAGCCCAAGAGCTAAAGGTGTGTAGGAAGGTGGGAGGGAGACTCACCTGAGCAGCCATGTCCACCAGCTGGGGTAGCCGCAGGTATTTGCCCGTTTCCCCCTTGAGAAAGTCCAGCAGACTCCCTGGAGGGAAAAAGCCAGTTCTAGCCTTGCCAGGGTTTCCCTGTGCAGGAAGCTGTGGCTCCCGGACCCTGATCGCCTGCTCAAAAGCCTCAGTTCAGTGTTTGACACTCACAGGCAACCACTCCAGGGAGCTGGACCAAGAACTCCTACTGGGTCCTTGCGGTGGTGGTGGTGGTGGTGGTGGTGGTGGTGGTGGTGGTGGTGGTGGTGGTGTGTGTGTGTGTTGGGGGATGTTAGACGCGAAAGACTATGTGTAAAGCCCAAGACACATTATGTTTATCTGGACCAAGCCTGCCAACCAGTGGCTGCCTGGGGCTGGAGAGTCCCAGTCACTAAGGGCAGCAGGGAACCTTGAGGGAACGTGGGTGCTATATACACATTTTGTGTTTTGAGTCCGGGTCTCAAGTAGCCCAACTTGTAATGGAGGCTGACCTCGAACTCTTGATCTTCCTCCTTCTACCCGCTCAGTGCTGGGACCACAGGTATATGTCATCATGCCTAATTGGTGCAGTGCTAGGTATCCAACCTAAGGCCAAACTCCAGGCCTTGTGCATGCTAGGCAAGTACTCTACCTACTGAGCTCCAGCCCCAGCCCCACATGGCTGTTTACGGAGGCATTCTTGCCATGTAGTCAGCCTGGCCTCAAACTCAAGATCCTCCTGCTTCAAGCCCCTGGGCACTGGGATTATGGGTGTGGGCCACCACACCACCTAGGGATCTTGACAGTGGTAAAGGGCGGAAGGATAACCCTTTTTTAAAAAAAGTATTATTATTTCTTGTTATTATTTATGAAATGAGCGAGGCAGTCCCTCAGGTAACCGTCCACTCATTGAGGGTTGGCTCAGGGTAAGAAGTAAGCTTCCCTCATGTGGCCTGCTCTGTGCAGGCACCTGAGTGGCACTCTCCCCAGACACACGCCTTACCCTTGCTCATGTACTCTGTCACAATGTAGATAGGTTCCTCCGACACCACGGCATACAGCTGCACCAGTTTCTCATGCCTCAGTTTCTTCATGACTTGGGCCTCCTGCAGGAAGGCCTCGGGAGACATGGTGCCTGGCTTCAGGGTTTTGATGGCAACCCTCGTGGTGCCGTTCCAGGTTCCTGTGGGGGAGTGACAGTGCCCTCAGCACAGGCCACCATTCTGTTGCACTGGGGCCTACATGAGTGCCTATCTCCACTCTTGCCTCCCAACTCATGGAACGGGCTCAGCCATGGCCAGGGACCTTACTCAGACTCTGTCTTCCCACTTATAAAATAGACTCAAGGACTGGAGACTCCTCCCAGGGCTGAGAAAGGAGTGTCTGGGGCCTGCTAACAAATCGTAGCTGCTACGAGACGTTGATTGGTAAGGAACGTTGCCAGAGAGCAGGACAGCAGCCTGATGGGTAGGTGAGCAAGGTCCCTTCTCAATTGCTTTCACTTGGGGTGACCATGCTGGGTGGGGCACTGCCAGGACTCCAGGCATCAGCAACCAGGACATGGGACAGAGGAGAGGGAAGCCTGTGTCTGGGGCCACTGGGACCACCAGAACAAGAGGTTAGCTCAGTGCCAGCACCTCACCAGGCAGGGAAATGACAGGCCAGTCTGGGAGTCCCCCTTGTCACAGGACTGGGTCTGAGGGTACCCCAGGTCAGCTCTCTAGCCCTTCTTGAGTCAGGCTATCCAGGGATCTGTTTATGGCAATTCCTGGTCTATGTAGAGCCCCAGAAAGAAGGGGGAGACCCTCTCAGATCCCCACCGCACACTTGCCAAGAATCATAGTTGAGAAGGACTGAGGCTGTGGCTCACCCAGGTTCTGCCTAAATCCTCCTTTTGGTCTGAGCTTGGGAGCTGGCTTCTCCCTCTGCCCTTCTTCACAGCCCAGGACATACTTCCCTTCCCCACCTGGCCCCAGCCCCTCTAGCGCCCTCTGAAGGGAGGACAGTGAAATGGCACAGCCACTGCAGCCCCAGTCAGTGCCCCTGTGCTCCTCCTCCTGGCTGGGCAGAGGGACCCGGGTTTGGCTAGGGCTGTCTACACCTCACTGTCACAGGGGACTCCCAGTGGCTCCAGGGTTAGACAGGAAACAGGACACTGACTTCCCCCTTCGCCACAGCACTTTCACTTTCTGTGCCAAGCTAATACGCAGATGCCTCTTGAAGCTTAACATCAGTCCCCATTTTACATCAGGAGGCCGAGGTTCGGTGTGAGACCTGACCAGACACGCACAGACCTGGAGGACCGTGGTGCCCAGGCCCCAACAGCTCTTAGTACACAGTTGCCCTGCAAGCATGGGCTACAAGGAGTCGGGTGTGCCCATCTCAGTGCTGACCCCAGTTGGGTCATAGTCAGGGTGAAGGGGTATAAGAAAGTATGTTACGTGTGGGTTTGAAAATATCGCAGGAAATGTGACACTCTGTACGGTTAATGTACAATCATAAAATAAAAACAGACTAGCTGCTCAGCAGAGGCAATTAAGAAGAGGGGCACCCAAGGTCCTTGAGCTGGCTGGGGTGGGTACAGGGGCGTGTGTTCCTTACCCATCCACACCTCTCCAAAGCAGCCCTGGCCCAACTTGACCTCCAGACGCAGGGACTCCCGGGGGATCTCCCAGGCATCCTTGGCCAGGCCCTGGGTCTGAGGCTTGGATGTGGGGCACACAGTAGTGAGGCGGTGGCACAGGCCATCAGCGTGTTCTGGAGATGGAGGCAGGAAATAGGGCTTAGGCAGTGGCCCCCAGCAAGCTGGCTTCCCTGTCCTGGGGGTATGGCCCTATACATCGCGTGCACACCAGCTCTGGGATAGACAGACACCCTCTTGTAAATCTCCACTCCTCACAGGCCTGCAACACGAAATTCACCCGCTCAACCCACTCATTCATTCACTCATCCATCAGATTTGAGGGTGCCAGAGAACCAGGGGCGTTCGAACAGGTATGGGAGCCTACCCTAGGAAGCCACACACACACACACACACACACCCAGTCAGCTGTCAAGCTTCCCTAGTCACCTCTCAGGACCACAGAAGTGACAGAGGATAGACTGGGAGGGGGGAATCAAGCAGGCTTTGGGAATCCTTTGGGAGCTCTGGAAAGCATTCCAGAGGAAGAGATTCCTGGTCTGGCTTTGAGGGGTAACTAGGGTAGTTACCTCACCCTGGAGGATTTGGTCTGGGTACCAAATAAGCCCCAGAGCAGAGGCAGACCAATAGAGAGGCAGCTGGTCCTAAAGAAGCCAGAGGCTCAGGCTGAGGGGACCGCTCTAGCAGCTTACGCCTGCAGCCGCCACGCACAGAAGGGCACAGCAGCCCCACCGCTGCACACGGCCCCGCATCCCAGCTCCAGCCCCCCTTCTGCTGTTCTCTATCAAAGAGGCCTCCCCCTCCTCCTCTCCCAGGAACCGGTTCAGACCAGTCTTAGGGCTGCAGAAACAATCACCACCAGCCTCGGCCCCTCCCTTCTAACTTGCTCAAGGCAGACCCCTCCTCATCAGCCAACTGCAGAGGAAGGGGAGGAGGGGGCTGGGCAGGGAGCGAGGGAAGCGGGGAGGAGATGGAGGAGAGGCACTCCAGGGCTGAGGAGGCACACCCCGCGGTACCCGACGCCCTCCTGGGGTGGCAGCCAGGGGGTACTCACTGGAGTAGTAAGCCACCAGCTGCTGCAGGCTGTTGAACTGGGTGCGGGAAGTGATGTAGAAACCGCCGCTGTCCAGCTTGCGGATCTTGTAGTGCTTCACGTTGAGGCCCTTGGCGTTGTCGAAGTCGGACACAGAGAGGCAGTAGGCACCTGTGGACAGGCAGGGAGGAGACAGCTGTGGCACCCTGCTGATATTCCCCCTGCTCGAGGAAGTGAGTTTAGTCCTCGCCCTCTTTCAGTACCTAGTGTGACCAGGAACAGGCTCCAGAGCAGCCATGCAGGCACAGTCATTCAGCCAAGGCACGAAACCCCCATGCCAGGGATTGCCCCAAACTCTTAGCTCTGTTAAGACCTCCGAATCCCAACTGTGTGACCCTGACAAGCCACTGCTGGTCCTCTACGGGCCTCAGTTTCCTCCTCTACACAACTGTAGCTTCATGTGTACTCAGCAAGCACTCCATAAATGCTGGCTGGGGTCTGGGAAAGGCCCCAGGCAGCTGTGTGTTCTTAGCTTGGCCGTTGCCCTCTCTGGATCTGCCCACTGCCATGTCTGTCCTGTTCTGCTTCCTGGAGACAAGCGGAGCAGACAGGATTAGTAGCTGGCTATGTGGACATATGTGAGTACTGACCCTGGCAGCCAGAGAAGCCCAGGGCAGGAGGCACACACTGAGTGTGACCTGTGGGGCCACCCTGCCTCCCTGGAGCCTAGAAAAACCGCAACTGGCAACATCCTACACAGAAACCTTTGTTAAATAGAGCCAGGGACATCTGAGGTAGCATCAGGGAACAAGGGGAGCCCCAGAGGAGGGGGCACAGGTTCCAGGGACCTGACAGGCAGTGGGCAGCTCTGAATGGAAGGCCTGCCTCCCTACCACCCACTGCTGAGGCCCCTGGAGTCCCACTTGACATTGGCAGGTAGATACGAAGATCCTCTGGTAACCAGTGAGCGAGCTAGGTGGGGCTGGACCTGGGACCCATCCTTGCCTGTCTCAAAGCTACACTGGGAAGTCATGGTTTCTGCAGACGGCACATATCACATTCATACAGAAGGCACAGGCTAAAGGCCATAGCCAAGCGGGACCACATATACCCACAGTGGCGTACCTATGCCCAGTGACCACATTTGCCATACCCCCCGGCCCCCCTGCCCCGAGCCCCAGGAACCAGGACCACACCACATCTCACTCCTAAGCAGTGCTGGCTAACTCCAGCCATGCACAAGCACACATGGGGGCAGGCACTTTTCCATCTCCCGCTGAGCCCCAGGCCCACAGGAAGCAGCCTGGCTTGGTTGCCATGGTGATGGGCTAGGAGAAGAGGCAGGAACAGAGCAGAAACAGACTGTGGGGGAAGGGGAAGGCCAGGAGAGGCCCCTGGGAAAGGGGAAAGGGAGACAGAGGGGGCCCCCTGCATCTGCACCGTCCCGGGAACAAGGGACAAGTGTGGCTGTGTGCACTCAGAGCTCCTCATTACCTGTGCCCACCCCTCCCACCCCCCGTGTGAGAAACTGAGGCCAAAGCAGAAAGCCTCAGGTTGGCTGCCCTGACAAGCTCTGGATTACCTGTCTTCCTCAAGCACCACCTTGACTTTAATTCCTCCTATTACCTCCGGGGGGGGGGGGGGGGGGCTCTTCCCTCTCCATCCCATGTACCAAACTCCTGCTTACTCTCCAATACCCAGCTCAGACAATACCCTCAAAGCCGAGTTCCACCGGCCACAGATGTCTCAGACATACCTTTTGTGGTCTCACTCTCCCTCACAAGGAAGGTCCCTCTCGGGTTCTCGGCGTTGAGCAGTAACCGCTCTGACTCCCGTCGGGTGATCTTGCCAAAGTACCACCTGGGGTGGGAGGGACAAATCTGTGTTGGTTGGCCAGTGTTCACTGCCCACCATGCTGGCTCTGGGTGCTGGGACTCAGAGTGGCCAGACTGCTGCCACTCAGGCCCAGGAGGGACCCTGCTAGCGGTGGCCATGGCAGCAGACAGGAGCTAGACCACATACTCACTCCTCAGCCTGGATGGAGTCGGAGGGTGCCACATAGTTGCTGGGGATGTAACCGGTCTGTCCCGTGCTCAGCGAGTGTGCCAGCCACCAGTCCCCCTCTCTGAGCAGATGGGAGGGAGCAAAGAATGGCATCATCAGAGGAGCAGGGTCAGCAACCCTGACCTTCCCAGGTGCACGGCCAGGCTCTGCAGCAAAGGAAGCTGGGCTAGCCTGTGTCCACAGCAAGCCAGCAGGAGCTGGCCTGGAACTCACACCTCCCTGTCACGCTGACCCAAAGGAGGATGCCACCCAAAACCTCAGCAAAACTGAGCCCTGTCAGCCCAAGGACTGAGCCCAGAGGCACTGTCCAGAAGTGCATAGCAGCCTGCAGGTGCCAAGGGCTGCCTGGGGAGAGAGAGGGGGAGGAAGCTCCCTGTCTAGGGGAGAAGGAGGGGTAAGCAGGGTTTACATGAGATGGATGCCACATTAGACCTTCAACAGCTTGCCAAGCCCTGAGAGCCCTGACACCCAATGGAGACAAGGCTGGCCCTTCTGGGGCCCAGCAACAGTCCAGGCCCATCCCTTCAAACAAGTAATACCTGCCCCTGTCCCAAATCATAGCTCACTCCTACAGGTCCTTAGCCAAAACTACAGGCCTCCTCCTTCAGCCTACCCCTGTCCACAGGGAAAGTGAAGCCAGAGAGAACTGGGCCAGGCCCAAAGTCACACAGCGGGTCATGGGGAGTGAGGTGGCAGAGGCCTGGTACCCAGGCCCCTCTACAATAACTGCCCCAGGAAGAGGGGAAGGAAGGAGGAAGGAAGAGGGAGGAGGGAGGAGGGAGGAGGGAGGAGGGCTCCCAGCAGGGTTCGGGCTCTGGGCCTGGGCAGGAGGGGGAGGGGCGGAAGTACCTTTGCAGCCATCTGAATGTGAACCAGGTCTGGCTGGAGCAGGGGTCCAGAGACAGAGGAGGGAGGAGCAAGCGAGAGCCCGACAGGAGAGAAGAGGCAGAGATGGGGGTGGTGAGAGGCCGTGGCAGGGGGCCGAGGGAGAGAGCGAGAGCCAGGCAGTGCTGGGGACACTGGGAACGGGGCCAGGGGGCAGCCAGAGGCCTCACATCCAAAGCAACCAAAGGGGACAGGGCAAAGGCTGGAGGTTTGAGGGAAGGTGGGGGACAGGGCCTGGGAGGTAGGGTCCAGCCCTTCCCACACCCCCTGTACAGATGGAAATACTGAGGCTGGAGAAGCGAAGGGCTCTGTGCACGGTCACACAGCCAAGCCAGGTCCTGGTCCCAGGGAAGGTGCCTCCCTGTGGGTACCATGAGGCTCAGTGGCTTTCCAGCTCATCTCCATGCAAGGTTTGGGGATTGGCAAGGTGGGTATCAAATGAGCCAGCTGGTGTGGTCCTTGGCCCCTGCCTCGACCCTGAGAAGATGTACAGCGACCCCACCCTGGCCCAGAGACAGAAAGGACCCTGGCCTCACATCACAGTCCCAGCTTGAACACACTTGATGTCTGAGCATATCTTCACCCAGCTTTATAGACAGAGAGGTTGAGGCCAGGAGCAAGCGGGGCTGGGAAAGCTCGAAGGACCTGCTGGAGGCCAGGGGAGCACCAGACCTGGCTCTGGTGACTGGTGCTGGGCCAGAGGGGTCCCTTCTAGATGGACGTGTGCAGTGAAAGGGTATGACTGAGCCGTGCAGGACAGACACACGGCAGGGTGCAAGCTCACCCAGCACCCGTGCCCCAAAGCTCCACCTCTGCTTGGGGTACACACAGTTTCCTGTCTGATTTGACCCCCAAGGTCATCCTACAAGGAAGAAGGCAAGAATCCCACCCCCAGATGAAGAAACCACATTTGAGAGAGGAGGAAAACGCAGTCACTCTGGTGAGAGAGACCAGTGTTTTCTTTATAGAGCTGGGGAAACTGAGGCATGGAGTAGGAGAGGATTTGCCCAAAGCTACACAGACTCAGGTCAGAAGCTCTCTAAAATCTTTCAATCCAAAGCATCCATCTCCCCAATGGGGAAAATGAGGCACAGAGAGAGCCATGGTTTGCCCAAAGCCACACAGCATAGTCCATGGCACAGAGAGGCTGAAGTCCAAGGGGCCTCTGGTGTCCACAGCCAAACGCAGCAACCCGAATCCACAGAGGCTGAGACCCCCAGAAGCAAGGGGACAGGCTGGCAGTCTAGGAAAGGGAGGGCAAACGTCCGGGTTCCATCCGGGGCTTGCTACTCAGCAGCCATGTGACCTTGGACAAGGGCCCTCACAACTCTGAGCCTCGGTTTCCTCGTATGTAAAATAGGGCCAGCCCCTCCCCCATTACTGCTGCCCCCAGGGTCAGCGATAACAGGATGACAGGGGCATGGGTGAGGATGACTGGCGCAGCGCGTGGCACCTGCTCGCCTTTGCTCACACAGCGGGCAGTCCCACCCTGGATCTTGAGGGCTGAACAGGCGTTCACCAGACGGACAGAGGAGAAGGAATATTCCAGGCAAAAGGAACAGCATGCGCAAGGATCAGGAGGCATGAGCAGCGGGACACATTGAGGGATGTGGAAAGCTTGCCTCCTTGGCCAGGCCTGTGGGCTCTCCGTGACGGATTCCTCTCCCCTCTAGAACACCCCAAATCAAACTCCCCAAACCTTACCTGCTCCAAGGAGAGGCCCCCCCGCCCCCCGCGGCCCAGCCCGCACCTCCAACCATCAGCTGCCCACCTCCCAGGGAGGTTGCTCACCACCCTTACCTGCAGTAGCTCACTGTCCTTCCTCTGACGGGCAGCCCCTCTCCTGGGGCCATCTTTCGGGGACCCCAGCCTACCTCTACCCACCCTTGGCCTGGCCTGGGGTAGCCCACTCCCCACCACACTGCCTCCCTCCCTGGCCTCCAGAATGCACTGGGTCCTGCGTGTAGCTGGCACTCGAAGTGGAATCACAAACCAGAAGGGCGGAGGGGAGCTAACAGGAAAGAGTGGGGAGAAGACGACGGAGGGGTTGGCTTAAAGGGTGGGATGCAGGATGAGAGGGGGGGCTGGAGACCACACACAGGGGCAGTGGGGGAAGCACATGCAGAGAGCAGCCCCCAGCCTCAGCGAAGCATCCCCCTCCACCTGGCCTCGGTACACACCTGACATCCACCTTCCTCCTAAGGGCCAGCGAGAGAGAAGCAGAGAGAGGGAGAGGCTGAGGTGCGAAGGCAGGGCCCGGGACGAGGGAGGACAGAGGTGGGGGTCTAGGGAGGGCCACCACCCACCAAGAGCGGAGGGCCCTGCGGGATCTGCACTGCCCTCTGCCGGCAGCTCTGGGTATAGCTGGGTCCACGCCCCCAGTGCATTCTCCCGGCGTGCCACTCACGTGTTGTTGACAATCTGCAGCCGCTCCCCTTTCTTGAAGGACAGGTCAGTCTCTGTCCGTGACTCATAGTCATAGAGGGCCACAAAGGTGGTCACCCCACCTGCAGAGAGGGACGTGAGGTGTCAGAGCCCTGGGGCTGGGGTAGGAGACTGCCTGCCTCAGCCACCTGCCTAACCCTGAGAAGTGGCACACTGCGTCCCCGCGAGGGAGCGAGGGGCGGCAGGCAGGCTAGGTGCTCCCTGCCTGGCATGTCCCATCGACACAAGCAGAAGCCCCGGAGAACAGGCGTCCTGCTCTGCTCAGGCCCCAGGCAGTGGGGACTCTGCCTCTGTGTATGTGTCCTTGGAAGCTCTGGGTATCTGGGCCGAGCTGCAAGGCCCGTCCCCTCAGAGTCTCTCCTCACCCACAGCTGCTCCTTGGACTCTTGCAGCCCACCCTCTGTGGCCTAAGGCCCCCCAATGCTTCTCAAATGAACAAATGGTGTGTGGCTGCTTCAGGCAGAAGTGGGCAGCCTGTCCAAGGGTCGCCTGGGGTGGGCCGTGGGGCCGGGCACCCTAGCCTCTGTCTGCATCCCGTGTGCAAGCAATAACTGGAGGTGCACAGCCGCGTCTGAGGGTGCGAGGCTGTAGGCACACCTGTATCCTTGGGTGTTGCACTGCGGGTGTCTGGCCTAGTTGTGTGTCCAGGAGCACAGTGGACATTTCCACGGTGTCTCCACTCAGTGTGGGCACATGCCCAATGTGGGCGCATATCATGGCTGGGTCTGGCCATGAGAGGTGCCTGTGTGGGTGTGCAGCTGCGCGTGTGGCTGGGTCTGAGTCTGAGCATGGTGTTTGCACGTGTGGGTGTGCAGCCGTGCGTGTGGCTGGGTCTGAGCGTGGGCTGTGCCCGTGGGGGTGTGCAGCCGTGCGTGTGGCTCGGTCTAGGCGTAGGATTTGCACGAGTGGGTGTGTAGCCGTGCACTCATCTGGCAGGAGCGTGAGTCACCCAGCTCAGCCCCTCGGCGACAGGGCTGCGGCACCTCGCAGCGCCAACAGAGGGCGCAGGGGCGCACTCGGGCCACCGCACCGCACAGTCGGAGACAAAGGCTGTGGGCGGGAGGCTGCAGCTAGGCGGTCCAGGGCGGTCCTTCCCTCTGGACTTCGGGGTCCCCTACAGCCCTCTCCTTCGGAACCCGTTATGCCATGAACTCGGCAGCCTCCAAAGGGACAGGAACCCCGCTTTCCAGTTTACAAGTCCTACCCCACTCTCAGTCTCCGGTAAACCAAGCCCCGGGAGCCCAGAGAGGGTGCACCTCAGCCCAGAGACACACAGCAAGGGCGAGAGCCGACCTGCCAGAGGCCCCGCCCTCTGCGGGGAGGTGACGGTGTCCGAGGAGTTGAAGCCTCCAAAGAGCTTGGGCTCAGCGGCCGCCGTGGCTACGAAGGCAGCGCTGGGCCCTCGGTGGCCGTCGGCGGAGGCGGGCTTGCTCGGTGTCTGCGAAGCCGGGAAGGCGCCCCCCGCCCCGTGCACGTTCTCGGCAGGCTCCAGGCTGCGGCGCCGCTGGCTGGCGTCTTTGGGCTTGCTCTTGTTGCTGCCCATGGTCCTGGCTGGGGGCGACAGAAGACCCTGAGGTAGAGGAGAGCCTCTGGGAGCAGACAAGCACCCCACCCACTCAGCGGGTAGGGAAACAGGTCCTGAGAAGGGGAAGAGCCAGCCTGGGAGAGCTGGCCTCAGGGTTTCTTCACTTGTTGGCACCTTTGGACCGAGCTACGGAGAGAAGACACGCCAGTCCGAAGCTCTGACCTCCGCTACCCAAAGTCCGTTTCAGTCTTTCGTGCGCAGGGACACTGAGTCATATCTGTGTCCCCAGCACATAGGGGGCTCACTCAAGTTTGACCAGTTGTCTAACACGGGGTAGGGTGGGGTGGGGTGTGCTAAACGTGGTGATCGAGGCAACAGTAGAGTATGTGGCCTGAAGAAGGGATGGCCACCGGGCCTTCCCTCCAGCCACAGGACCTCTGCGAACTGTTCCCTGACAGCTTCCCCAGGACAGATCAGTAGCACCCCGTCAACACTCAGCTTCCCGGGTTGGGGAGACGGCTCAGCAGGTTGAGGTCAGCAGGTAGCCACAACCTCAATTCAATCCCCAGGACCCACACGGTGGAAAGAGGGGTGCGAGAAACGGTCCTGCAAGTTATCCTCTGATTTCTGACCTTCACACATGCCACGGCTCACACACACACGACTCCCGATAAGCACACAGAATGAATAAATAAAGCGCGATAAAAATGTTTCCAGTCACTCCCTTTAGGAGGGGGCCTCCAGATCCTTTCATGAGCCCCCTGACTACTGTACCCGCCCTTGGTTACATGCAACCCTCTTCTTTTAAATCCTATAATTGTTCACTGCTGTGCAGAGTGAGGTACACAACAGGTGCTTAATAAACAGCCAAGTGGATGATGAGTGAGGAGAGAAGCCTGAGTTCAAAGATGAAGCCCAAAGTTTGGGAGGTCCTGGGACCAGGACACACAGAGAGATCCATGTTGAAGGCTCCATGGCATCCAATACCCTGCTACCCTCCTCCACATCTGTGCCCAAGCCAGGAGGCTGGGCTGGGGCTCCCCTCTCTCATCTCCGCTCACCTGGGGGGCAGCAGGGCTACCCCAGCGGGTCTGGGCAGCAGCCTGGAGGCTTGGCACAAATACCAGCTGTGGTGTCCGGGGTCTTGACCTAGAGACCTTGCTCCACCTCTCTTGCTGTGTGTCCCTAGGCGAGTGGCTCCCCTTCTCTGGGCCTCAACGTCCGCATCTGCAGAGCCTCTGTGGGGATGTGAACATGGACACTGTTAGGGCTCTCACCCTGAGATCATCAGAAGCCTCCCCTTGCCAAAATGCCCGTTGTCCTTCCAAAGATCCTGGGAACGAGAGAAAGGAGGTGGCACAGTGGTCCGGAAGGCTCAGAAGCCAGCTCCCCAGTTCTGGCCTCAGCTGACTAGTCTACACTGGTATGAGACATCATCCCCTATGCCATTTCTTCCCTTTATGTGACAGCTATGGCATGACCAAATGGGGCCACAGCAGGGGTTACTCTGCACACCAAGTCACTGGCATGTGCTCTGGATGTGCCGGGGGTGGGGGAAATCCCTGGGGTGCAGAAGGCCTCAGCATTAGGCCAGATCTCCTCAAAGAACAGTGACGGAACAGTCTCCTCGGTTGTCCTCAGTACCAAGCCCAGCTCTGTGGCTCCTGCCCACCAGGACCTGGGTACAGCAGCCTGTCCTTTACTCTCAGAGCTGTGGAGGTTCACACTGGGGACGTGGGACTGGGGAGACCTGCCCAATGGCCCAAGGGATCATCAGAGACTCCTGAGGGCCAGGCCAGCAGTGGACAGTAAGGGAGGGCCTGTTTCCAGGTCACAGTGCCCATCAGTACTCACAGACCCTGTTCTGAGGGGTCTGCTGATCAATGGGTTTCCCTACAGCCTGGCTTGCTAGAAGCCAACCCAGTTGGCCCCCGCAACCCCCGGGAAGTTGTATAGTCCTTAGCTAACAGTTCCAGAAGGATTTTAAGAGACAATGCAAAATATAAAACAGATTTTAAAATAAAATCTATTTACCATATACAAAGAATTGTCTGGAAGCAAGAGCTTTCTTTGGAATGATCACAGCAGTGTATAGTGTGCCCCCTGTCATTGGAAGGGGGTCAGGAATGTCTCTCGGGAGATGTGCCTGAAGGGAGGGGGAGAACCAGCCCCCGGAAGATGTATGCCCCATCTTTTGAGGAGCTAGAACACGGGTATAGGCCCTGCACTTGAGACCTTACACTAACCAAGGGGAACCCCCACCCGCCCCGAGTATACAGAAAAGTAAAGTGGGGACCTTGAAGGCAAATCCAAGGGGGCCTGGGCCACAGGTCGCAATGCTGGCTGGTGTGTGAGTAGGAGCTGTCTGTGGAAGAGGTCTGTGGTTAATGCTGGTTATACAAACACCAGGTATCTGAAGAGGCAGCAAGGTTGGGAGCCAGCCCAGGAGTGGGCTGCGGCAGATGAGCAGGCGACACTCC